ATATAATTTATACTTATTTAAAGTGAAGTATATAATGAACTATTAAAGAGTACTAAAATGACCAATTTGACATATGCATTCTTTGAAGCATAATAACATTATGCAAAGTCATAAAATCAATAGCATTATAAAAAATTCCAACTTTGTTCACAACAATATCATCACAAATAATAACCAAAATAAAATATAACCTTTCACTAAGTTAAATTCAGAATATTTTTAAGTTTGTTTACCATCAATGTAATATTTCATTTAGTTAAATTCACAATATTTTTAAGTTTGTTTCAAATTATAAACGATAACCTCCATTCCATACAGAAACGTGAATCATCAAAATAAAAGAACATTTCAAACTACAAGGTGATAACTAAAAGTCTATAATAGCATCTAACTATGAGTTTTTCAGCAGAAATAAAAAGAGCATGACAATTCTTATTAATATGAATAGACAAGATGTTATCGTAGATGAATTTCCAATAATATCATCCTACTTCAAGTCCATATGATAGTTGTGACTAATGTGTATGTATGATATGACAGATGTGTATCAGAAAAGTTTGCTTACATTCGTATTGACCAGCACTTGAAGTCCGTTCTCGACTATCTCTTTCATGAACTTACAAACATAATATCCACACTCGGTACCTCCCGACTGACGGGGACACTACAAACAATTTACAATAAACGATTAGTCAAAATGAAAGCTGTAATTTAAACAAGGAATGATCATTCGAAGTCTTCACCAAAACATTGATCCAATTGAGGCTAACCCTTTTGTTAGATCCACTTTGAGCATTGTACAATTTCATTGCCCTATAAAAATTGATGAAATATATCAAACAATATACTATAATGTTTCGATAATTTATGTTACTTACGCATCAATAACTTGCTTCAACTGCTGATGGACATTGGTGGGCCCTAAGGAATCAAGATAATAACAACTTGTTGCTTTCATATCTATCACCGCCAACACCCAATGTCTTCTATAAAAACAAAAAACAAATTAAGTTACTAAAATATATTGATAATCAAATGAAAAATCAAATGAAAAAATAAACCCGGGATTATATGGCACTAGGACGATGTCATTGTCCTTTCTTAGAGACAATCGATCTGCAACGCTTCGAATTGCCTCATCGCTATTTTTGAATTTTGCCTTACGTCCTGATGGCGAGATTACAGACGGGCTCATAAAACAAATTCCATGATCTCTTTTTGGCCCATTCTTGATTTCCTCAAACAAGTACCTATATATTAACATTAGACAAGTACGATGATTAAATATATTGTGTTTTAATAAAATTAAAATTATGCACGTTCTATCAACAAGTTTCCAAGAGGGGGAATCGCGATGATGACTTAGCATACCGTTATTAGCCCGACATTGTTCATGCCAAGTTAAGTTTTGTGCCATTTCTGGTGACGAAAACATTCTCCTAAATCTGGGGATGGGAGGAAAATACCACAAAACTTTCGAAGGTACGTTTTTGGTATTATTCTTCCAACGAGATGTGCCACAAGTTGGACATTGAGAAGCATCCTTATGTTCTTTCCAGAATAGAACACAATCGTTTTCACATGCATGAATTTTTTCATATTGTAGACCTACTCCTTTTAGCAATTTTTTGGCATCATAGAGGGAGTTAGGTATTCTATTGTTTAATGGTAAGACATCTTTTAGGGCACCTAACAATACTTCAAAACTAGTCTTAGACCACCCAAATTGACCCTTGATATGTTGGAATTTCAATAATCTACTAAGTGCATTATACTTTGACCCTACGTAAAGTGGCTTCTCACATTCTTCAAGAAATGACTTCAATGAATCGGGTTCTTTTTCTACATCTCTGAAGGCATCATGTAGCATATCTCTTGTATAATCAAAGTCGGGAGGAATAGATTTGTTAGGGCATCTAGAATCAAGCTTGGGTTGCTTTCTCCATGGAAAGACCAAACCTTATAACTTTCATCGAAGCCATAGGCAAACAGATGATAGCGCACGGTTTGAATTGAGTGGTGCCACAAATTAATACAATGTATACAAGGACATCGAATAAGATCTGAATTTGGATCATTACTTTGTGCAAAGTCTAGAAAGATGTTTACACCCACTTCATATGCATCAGATAACCTATCAGACGAAATCCATGCTTTATCCATCGACCATTACTTACCAACCTAAAATAATTATAAAGTATTAGCAAAACTACAACTTTATAACTGATGATTGATGAAATATTTATGTAAGATATGAAGAACAAAATGTTTACCCCAAATTACCGAGTACAAAGTAACCCTAACAAATTCATTTTGTATTATGCTATAGAACAATGTTCAAGGGTCATGACCCATTCATAAAATCTAAAAAACCCATTTGAAACTGGAACAAACCCTAACAATGTTAGATAAATTATTGGTGTTAGCCTATTCAATATCTTCTAACGTTCTTGGTGTTAGCCTCAAAATCTCTGTCTTGTGCTTGTTGTAATTTAAGTTGAAGCACATGGTTGTAACATGAGAAAGCCTCATTGCCTATATTTGTAATCATCATTCAAATAATGTTGCCTAAATCTAAGTTAATAATCATATTTTACGATACTTGAATTCGGGTGTGAGCATCAGAGTGGAGTACATGTCTGAAACGATTATATTGGACAGAAGATTCTTAAAAGTCATATGCTAGTACCCATATGATAGACAAAAATGTTAGAAATAAACACTTCAAGAAAAGAATGAAAAGTCGGAGCAACATATAGTTACAAAATTCGACTAAAATAAATAATAAGATAAGATGCCACTAACCAGTATACCCAGAGAACTGTGGATATTATGTATGGGGCATTTCTTGAGAGAGACTCAACAAAGGAATGTCATGTTCCATCCAATGATAGCATCCGTGCCAAACTTACGCCAACCTACATTTATCAAAAACAAAAATTAAATTTCAAGAGCGAGTGTTTAGTTAAACTAGCAAAACAATAAAAAGGAAACTATGCTACTCGAACGTAAGTATGAGTGTCGAATACATGTATTATTAGATTTTTTAAAGTTATTTCTATGCATTTAGAAGATCTTTGGAGGTCATATCCACATATCTATATGGCCGACACAAAATGTCAGATACCGATACTTCAAATGAAAAGAAGAATCCAAACAACATAGAAAGCAGAAAAAGGCAAGAAAAGTTGTGTTAGTGAAACATTAAGTACCAATGCAAAGGACAAAAAACCAGATATTTAAAGCCTCTTCACTAATGAAAAGTCAACAACCAGCAGCCATAAGCAACCAAAAGTAAATACATCTGAAATATGACAATTAGGTAAAAACTTGGAACCATTCTAGTTAGCGAATGAAATACAGATGTGGGAACTGGGAAGCAGAGGCACCTCCCTCACTCATTTTTTTTAAACAAAAGAATCCCAAACATAATATAACCTTCCAAAAATCCTCGAAATATATACTATTGTAGGGTCATTCAGACCTATATCGCTTGGACTCGGAAGTGAGTAACGGATACGGGATTCTTTTTGAGGTTTATCCATGTACTTGGAGAGTCATATCACCATAGCCTCCTTATGTCGGACAATGATACGTCAAGTCAAGTGAAACAAGATATGTTTGTAAACATTTTAACAAGCATAACAAAACATATATCACAAGACAATCAAAGTTCAACATTTTTGAACCAAAATACATAATCCATCAAAACCCAAAAATCAAAAAGAGATCAAGAACTAGCATAAGAGTCCACTGAAGTAAAAAAACCGAAATAACCCACTTAAACGAAGAATGAAATGAACAAATCAGTAGTGATTAAACAAATAATAAAAAATAAAACAAGCATGCATGCAACAAATCTCGATTCAAAAAAACATATATGAAGTAAAAGCATCAAACCCATTAAATTAGAGAAAATAGAAATCAACAAACCCACAAATGTTGGAATAGAGAACGAGGATTACCTGTGGAAACCCTTGATTTTTGACTCCCTCGACTGCGTTGTGGTGAATGGCCAAACCGGTGGGAGGATGCAAAGACAAAAAGGGAAAACAGAGAAAAATGGGGGAAGCACGGCGTAAACTGATGAAAAATGGGGGAAGATCAAGCGCGCGGGAAATGATGAAAAATAAGAGGGGGGGAATTAGAATACAACTCCTAAAGATGACACACAAAATTCATATATACTCCGTGTTTTTGTAAATTTTTTGGATTATGACTATTAAATATGACACACATCATTGTAAGTCATAAATCGTTCAGATTTTAAAAAATATGACATTTTTTTATGACACACATGTTTTGCAAGTCATTAATTAGCATGTGTCATCGTTCGTGTGTCATTAAAGGTATATTTTCTTGTAGTGAATAGAGACAATTTATAATTAATGAGTACCAATTTTGGGCGTTTTGGGGGTGTTGATCATTCCCCAAACGTAATCGACCACGAATCCCTTTTTATTATTAAAAATAACGAATTTTTTGGTTAAAACGCAGACCATTTTATCTTTTAACTGATGTTTTCTTAAAAACTCTTTTAAAAGATAATTTTTAGGTATTCGACTTACCTGACCCAAAAGGCCGATGGTGACTCCCTAAATATTTTAAAAACCATTTATTCACATCACTTTTCCCGTCAAGTAAAAAATTCGTGCCCGGCGAAAACCGGTTACGACATGCTCTATGGGAAAATACATCCATTTAGGCAAAACATTCATTTGGTTATTGATGGTAACCCCGACATTGGAAAAGATCCGGTTCCTACACCAAATGGAAGATCTTCTAGTGGTGGTGGTTCTTCTGGGAATGGTCAAATGAAATCGAATACCGGAATGGTTGTGGGTTCGGTTGTTGGTGCTGTTGGTGGCTTGAGTCTTCTTGTTCTTGGTAAATGTATCTACACTAGAAAAAGAAAGCATAGGAGTAGGGTTCAGAGTCCAACTACTGTAGTTATACATCCGCATCATTCCGGTAGTCAAGACGGAGTTAAGATAACCGTTGCTGGGTCGAGCATTGCAGGTGGGAACGAGACTTTCACCCACACATGCAGTGCCCCTAGTGATTTTCATGTGGTTGAGGCTGGTAACATGGTGATCTCCATTCAAGTTTTGAAGAATGTGACAAATAATTTTAGTGAGGAAAACGTGCTCGGAAGATGTGGTTTCGGTACAGTTTACAAAGGGGAATTACATGATGGGATGAAGATTGCAGTGAAAAGGATGGAGTCTGGTGTTTTGACTGAGAAGGTTTGGCCGAGTTCAAGTCCGAGATTGCGGTTCTTACTAAGGTTCGTCATCGCAACTTGGTGGCACTCCTTGGATATTGCTTGGATGGAAATGAGAGGCTTCTTGTTTATGAATACATGCCTCAAGGGACCCTTAGCAGGCACCTATTCAACTGGGAGGATGAAGGGTTGCAACCACTTGAATGGATGAGACGACTTACAATCGCACTCGATGTGGCTCAAGGTGTCGAGTATCTACATGGTCTAGCACAACAGAGTTTCATTCATCGAGATCTTAAGCCATCTAATATTCTTCTTGGAGATGATATGCGTGCCAAAGTTGCAGATTTTGGCTTGGTTCGTCTAGCTCCTGTTGATGGTAAACAGTCTATCGAAACAAGACTGGCAGGAACATTTGGATATTTGGCACCAGAGTACGCAGGTAATTGACTTTAGTTTCTCATCATTTCCGATTACAAATGTCTGGTTTCACTATAGCAAATGTTAAAGATAGTGTCTTCATCTATAAGTTTCAGTATTAGAACTAAAATTTCTCGTGGTATCGCAGTCACCGGACGAGTGACCACGAAGGTGGACGTCTTTAGCTTCGGTGTGATCCTCATGGAATTGATCTCAGGCCGAAAGGCACTTGACGAAACTCAGCCCGAGGAGAGTTTGCATCTTGTGACATGGTTCCGTAGGATGTACATAAACAATGACACATTCCGAAAAGCCATTGACGAAACCATTCAGCTCGATGAGGAAACACTTGCAAGCATTAGCACAGTGTCAGAGTTGGCTGGCCACTGTTGTGCAAGGGAGCCCCACCAAAGACCGGACATGAGTCATGTTGTCAACGTGTTATCATCACTAGCAGAGGTCTGGAAACCTGCCGAACCCGATTCAGATGATGTATATGGCATAGAACTTGAATTGACTTTACCACAAGCGTTGAAAAAATGGCAAGCATTCGAAGGAAACAGCAATCTGGATGACTCATCATCATTTCTGACCAGTACAGACTCTACACAGACCAGCATCCCGTGCCGGCCATCCGGGTTTGCGGATTCATTCGCATCCGCAGATGCTCGATAAAAAAAAACATGTAGAACAAGGCAAGTTTGAGGATTTGAGTGTCGATGGAGACTTGTGAAACGTTGGGGTTTTGTTGACTCCTTCCACTCATATATTGTGATATTGGTCTCTTAAGCTATAGTTTGTAGGATATTACATCATTATCCCTGGATTTTTTTTTTTTTTTTTTTTGTAGTTTAAAATCGTCTGATCTGAATAGAAGTTTCCGGATGCATTTGATTTAATTATAGTTAAAATGCAAGTGTAAGAAATCAGCTACAGTACAGAAGGGGTCCCTCCTTGTGACGAATATTAATTGGATAAGTCAACAAACTCCCATAAAATCTAGTCCAATTTTTGTCTGTGTGAAGATAATTCAAAACACACACAAATTTTAGGTGAAGACCCAGGCAAAGAGCTAATGATGTCATGGATCCAGTTTTAGTTATATCAAAATTAAAAAATTAATTGGATTGAATTAAGATATATAAAAAACTGTGGGGTCCGAATGAAATAGGTATCCCCTACAAACAACACATCCTGAGAGGTAACTGTGAGGGGATGAAAGTGTGATAGTTGCATTTTGGTACCCATTCCAGAACATGCAACGTTGAAGACGGGAAGTTGTTGGTTTGGTGTGGTCTACACGGAGTAATGGCATGCCAGCTACTCCTATAACCTACACTATTGTTATATTCTCCAGACACTGACCTTTGTTATTTCAACAAGAAACAAAAAAAAAAAAATTAAAAACGAGCATCAGCGAAAATGTTTTAATTTTTTTTAATTTTTTTAATTTTTTAAGTTTGATGTATTTTAAAATATTATTTTTATAATATTTTCGATTGTAATTTAATGAAGTATAAAAATATAATATTTTTAGTGTAATTTAAAGTTATTATAAAAACATAATATTTAAGGTTGTAAAAAAATGTTAAGTTACATCTGACTTAAAATATCATACTTTTCAATAATGTTTTTGTTTGTAATAATTCCTATCCCTTTTAGTCTTAAATTATTAAGTTGTACCACAAAACTTATATTGATAATAATAGATTTCAGCTTTGATTTTAAATATTCCATCCACTTATAAAATAAACGTATGATCGCTCATTTGTAAAATATGAATGAAGTAAGAAAAAATATTAGGTTAACGCTAAATTAAAAAAGGTAGAAGTCAAAAATATAATTTTAATATTGTATTAATTTAAAAAATTTTAATTTTTAAAAGAATTAAATTACTAAACTATTATTTTTTGGTAAAATAAAAATTTATTGTATTACTTTAAAATGTTATAATTTTTAAGAGATTAAACAATTATTTATTTCATTTTAAGAAGATTATGGTAAATTCTAGTGTCACGTATCATAAGGAGACCATGTACACTATCTTGTATTTGGAAAGAAAATGGAAAGATTATTTATTTTATAGGTGATAATATATATTTTATGGTGAAAGTGAAAATGATTTTATGACATTGACTCTTTTTTACATTAATATAATATATAAATATATATAAATCATATCTATTTGATAAGACTTCATAACTTAATAGCAATCAGCAGTAAGTCCACCGATTAATCAAATGAGAAAATTTGGAACATGACATGGACATGAAATGATTTGATTTTGGTATCTCTAAAAAGCAAATAATGGCACGAGCAAGGGGGTAGTGGATGCTCCTAATATGTGCCCTAAAGACTGCAATGATAGGATTCAAACTTATCCAATCATAAGTTATATATTATTTGTAGACATAGATAAACGCGTGAAGGAGAATAGACCGAAAAGAGAGAGGGTCAAGTATAGAATTAGGCGAGATGGATGAAGGGATGTTGATCTCTTAAAATTTTAAAATTTTTATATATTTAAAAAAATGTATTTTTTACTAAAATTATATTTTTAACTCTTAAAATTTTATGAATTCAAATTTATTTTCTTAAAATTTTATAAATTTAAATTTAGCCTAACATAAAATCATATTCTGGTTCATTTTTCGAGAGTACAAAAGGTTGGACATCAGTTGTGATTAATATAGCCCCATGTTATGAAAGAAAAAGAAGAAAGATAGTTACATGTGAAGATGTGTGGGTCCATACAAAGTTGTATGGTCTTGTCCCCAATTTGGTTTATTTGAGTTTAAAGGGTTATTTATTTACTTCAGAATGATTAAGCGTTGAATGATTCAAATGCTGAATGATTAAGCGTTGAAAGATTCAAATATTGAATGATTCAGAGGCTCTGTATGAATTAACTCTGAATGTGACATGTTGTTTGATAATGGTTCTGAATCATTCAGAATCTACTTCTGTGCTGAATCATTCAGAATGTACTTATGTGCTGAATCATTCAACAATGTTTTGTTGAATCAGTCAGCACTGAATCATTCAAAGGTGCGAAACAAACGCGCTGAATGTTGAACGGTTCAACATTCAGTGTTGAATGGTTCCATTAAGAGGCAAAAAACATCCCCTAAGTTGACAATTTTCAGTTTTTTTCCTCCAACATTTATTCGATAGGTCTTTTTTAGAATTTACAAATTTCAAATTATTAATTAGATATTAAAATTATATTAGAATGAAGATCTCAATGTTCAAAGAGATTGCTTTTTTTTTTAAAGATCTTGATTTCAAGCAATTATGTTTACATTGTCTACATGATATCAATTTATTAAAAATATTATGAACAAATACTACATTATAATCATCGGACTATTAAAAAACTATATATTAGAATACAACTTTGATAGAGTTACTAAAAACTTTCTAACATTATTAGAAATTTGAATATAAGAATATGATAATTAAATTTAACTTTATTTTAACTCCTAAATTATTGTTAATTAAAATCTTATTTGTATATATGTCATAATGTCTCCCCAGAGGATCCGTTAGACTTAAAAAATTAATTTTTGGGGGAAGGCAATGAAATATAATTTTGAAAACAATTTGATTTTGAAGTCACCACCAACCTTTAAGTTAGGCAGGTTGGAAACCTTAAACGACAAAAACATTGTCTGTGTTTTACCAAAAATTCATTTTTAAGAGTTTGGAAGTCGATTACGTGTGGAAAAGGGTGAGCACCCCACAACGCCCAAATTTGATACCTAAACAATTATATGTTGTTTAAATATTGGGAATTAAAAACTTCGAAAATATATTTAAATTATGATCCTTCTATTTATTTGAATTTATAAAAAAATGTCAATTTTCGGATAACTAATGTCCTTTTGTGTGAACAATCTTCGGGAAAAACACTTCCTTCGTAGTTAGGAGACATTCCCATAAATTCCCCTCACAAAAAGACATTGTTTCATATTTTTCACAAAAATAAAATAAACTAAAATGAAACAAAATAAAAATGAATAGAGGTAAAACAATAATCAAAATAAATAAACATAAAGCAAAGAAAATTATCGAATAAAAATATTTTTGTGTGAAAAATCTTCGAAAATATACATTCTCTTGTAGTTGGGAGATATTTTTATAGATTTCCCTCACAATAAAATTTTTAATTTATATATATATATATAAAATGATGATTTATGTAAAAATAAGGTCTAAATATACGCATAAATAAAAGACCAACATACAAACTTTCTAAATCAATTATCAAGATTAAAAATACCATATAAATAAGAGAGTAACTAAAAATTATACCTAAAAACACAATATATAAAAAGATGACTAAAATGAAATATTTACAAACATGACAAGTTAAAATACAAATAATAAAAAATAGGCATGCTTAGTAAAATAAAGGACTAAATATCAATAACAGTAAATTGAAAGACATAATAACAAACATGGAAAACATCAGGGCAGAAATAAAAAAAATCATGTAATACATGTATTGATAAGGAAAATGAAACATACAGAATATACATGACTAAAATGAAAACGATCAGAAATTAGTGCCTAATTCAAAAGAATCCTAAAACATGAACCGAAAGAAACTCAAGACCAAACTGTAATAGGGTAAAATCAAATGCTTCAAATAAGACATATTCTATTTCATGACCCAAGTACAAGAGTTATACAAAGATACGGGGGTTGGGTATGCAAATATCCCTTTTTATCAAACGCACAACCTCTCCCTTAGAAACACGGCGACGTTTTGCATAAGGAATAAATGGCCAAAATAGAACCCTAAATCATTCTCTTCCTCATTTTTGTTTTCATTTCTGCCCGAAAGAGAGAGAGAAAAAACAATTCTCTCAACTCTTCTCGTCCCTCTCTCTACTCCTCCATCGTGAAGATATTCCAAAAAGGCCACGGCCTTCGTGAGGCGACGGCGACAGCGGGGTAATCAAAACCCATAAGCCCCTTTATCTTCTTTCTTTGGCAAATAGGCCCTTAACCACTCAAACCCTAAACTGAGACACACAAAACCAAGACTTTTTTTACCTTCGGCGAGGCTCTTCTTCTACTCTAATGAGATCCACGACTATACCAGGCGATGAAAGGTAAGTTTTTTTTTATTTGGTTTCTGTTTTGGTTCAATTGTATCTCCTTTTTTATTTTTGTTTTTTGATCTCCCTCTAAATAGTTGTTGCCTCCCCCTTTTAGGATGATATTCGGGTAAATAATTAGATCTAAGGGTAAGGGAAAAATTTCCCGATTTATCAGGATTTTTATGGTATTTTTTAATTTGGGATTTGATTTGGTGGTTGAGTGATACCAATTTGTTCATTGTTTTGTAGGTTTGATGACGATGACAACGTGGGAGTGATTGATAACGGCTCACGCACCAATCTGGAGAAATGCATGCATCTCACGCACCGGTGATGCGATCCAGATCCTGTGAACGGCGGCTGCTGAATGCAATTAGGGGATTAGGGTGAAAATTCTAATCTGCTTAGGGTTGGGTCGGATTAGATCCTGAGCCTCGGGTCTGTATCCGGGTCCTCTTCGGGTCGGGTTGAGTGCTATAATTTGGGCTCCGGGTTGTTGTAACTAGATCTGAATTTGGGTTGTTTGTTGGTTGGGTCCTATTGTAATGAACTGTTGGGCTTCGGGTT